CCTCCCCCGAATCTCCACATGCCACCACGCAACACCAAGAACTCCCAACGTGCCGCCGTCAACGCCGCTGCTGCTGCCACCGCTGCCGCTGCTGTTGCCACATCTGCCTCCACCTCATCCGCAGTCGTCGCCTCATCCGCCGGTGCATCCACTCCATCTTCTCCCAGCATGGCCCAATCCTCCAGCATCAATATGACCGTCGTCAACACCCAGTCTGTTGACAGCCTCGCTCGCGAACTTACGGGCGAACAAAGGTCCGAGCCTGTTGCCACCAATATCGCCACCCTCATTCGCATGATGTCCTCGTTCCAAACGGACATCCGCGCGTCCATCACCAAAATCGAAACCAATATCTCTGGCCTATCCAACCGTGTGACCTCTATCGAGCAGCAAACCCCGACAATCACAGTGGTCACGGCCGCGGCACCCACCTCTACGACCGTGCCCACATCCACCGCCCTCGAGTCCCAAACCACTACCCCCTCCATTTTGGTGGTCACCACCACCACCCCCACGTCCACAGCCGCCTCCAGCCACACCCCCCCGCCGACCTCCTCCACTCCTACTACCTCTACCACCACATCCACCACCGCTGCCTCCTCCACCCTTCCCCCCCCCTCATCCGGCGCTTCCAGCCCACTGCCTCATTCCTCGCCTAACCACGTCACCCCTATTCCCCCCCCGTACTCCCATACTATCTCACAACCCATCATGACGACCTCCACCATCCCCACCCCCCGTCCCAACTATTCCCAAGTCACCTCCGGGGTTTACCCCGCAGTGCCACAACTTCCCCCCAACTACCTCCTTGACGACAACAGCCAATTCGATTAAACCTGCTACGACACTACCCCCGATAACCTCAACTTCAACACCCTCCCCCGGATCGTTTCCCGCGAAGGGGAAATCCCCCGTTCCTTYCGATCCACCGACATCATGCCCTTCTTCGGCCTTCCCCACGAGGACGTTTTCCTCTTCCTTACCCAGCTCTAGAACTCTTTCAAGCTCCACCACATGCCCCTTTTCCACTGGCTTCCCATTGCCACCTCCTGCCTCCTCGGCAATGCTGCCAAATGGTGGATGGCCGAAGTCAGCAACCGCCGCACCTCCGGAGGACCGCGTCACTCCTTCCTCCAATGGGCCAACCTTCTCACTGCTACCTTCCGCCCCCAGAAAACCATCGATGACTACCTTGAACAATTCAGTCACCTCCGCCAGACCGGTCCCGCAGACCGCTTTGTCCAATACATCCGCTCCCTCCGCCATCACCTCCCGACCACCGTCATTCCCGACTTTGCGTTCATCTCCCGCATCAAGCGAGTATGCCACAAAGATCTTGCAACCGCCCTCGCCCACGAACCCAACATGCCCCTTGTTGACCTCCTTTCTCGCATGCTTCACCACGATCGACTCCTCCACCCCCATCACCAGTCCGCGCCCGCTCTCACCCGCCCCCGCTTCTTCCATAACATCACCCCTGACGACACCACTCCACTCACGTCTGATGACGACTTCGATGCTGCCTCTCTCGACCTCTCCCAATTCACCATTGAGGACCTCCAAGCCGCCCACCTTATCCGGATGGAACGCCAGGATCGTGCCTCCCGATCCTCCGAGAGCAAAAATTCTACGCCAAGCTCAGCAAATGTACGTTTGCCGCTTTGAGCGTCGAATACCTTGGCCACATTGTCTCCGCTGAAGGCATCCGTATGGACCCCTCGAAGGTCACAGCCCTTGTCGAGTACCCCCCGCCCAAGACCCTCCTCCAACTCCGTTCCTTCCTCGGCCTTGCCAACTATTACCGGCCGTTCATTCGCAACTTTTCCGAGATCTCTTACACTCCCCACGAACTCACACGCAAGGACGAGCCCTTCAATTGGAACGATCGCCGCCAACACGCTTTCGACTCCCCCAAGCAAACCATCACGATGGCCCCTGTCTCAAGATCGCTGACCCCACTCGCCATTTCTATGTCACCACTGATGCCTCCGACTTCGCCATTGGAGTCGTACTGTCCGAACATTTCCCCCTCGACACCGCCGAGACCCCCTCCATCAAGGACTTGCCCACTCACCCCGAGGCTCCACCCGACGAATACCCCATCGCCTTCGCAAGCAAGAAGCTCCTTCCCGTGGAGATGAATTACTGGCGCCCGTACCTCGACGGGCAATACTTCACCATCCGCACTGACAACACCATTGTTTCTTTCATCCTCACCAAGAAAGACATCACCTCACACCAAGCTCGATGGCTCGACTTCCTTGTCCAGTTCACATTCACCATTTGCCATACCCCCGGCAAAAGCAACCGCGTTGCCGATGCCCTCTCTCGACGACCCGACCACAAGCCCCCTGAGAAAGTCTATGCCGCGATGACCCATATCCAGCTCCTCCCATCACTCCATCATCGATACACCAAGGCTACCTCTCTTGCCCAAACTTCGCCGCCATTTACAACAAGTTCTGCGATCTTGACCCAATCCCCACTACTCCCTCCACGACAACCTCCTCTACATCGACACCAAAGGCACTCGCCGACTGTGCATCCCTGACACACGTGGTCTCCGTACCCAGATGTTGGCCGAGCACCACGACGCCAAGACCGCAGGTCACCTCGGTTTCCAGAAAACCGTCGACACCATCTCCCGCTACTTCTATTGGCCGTCTCTACTCGCCGACGTCAAAACATACATTCGCTCATGTCCCACTTGTCAGGCTGTCAATCCCTTGAACCGGCCCAAACCTGGCAAGCTCCAATCATTGCCCATCCCCACTCACCGGTGGCAGTCCATTTCCATGGACTTTGTGTGCGGCCTCCCTAAGACCGACCGCGGGCATGATTGCATCTACGTCATTGTCTGCCGCCTGACCAAACGCGCCCACTTCATCCCTTGCACTACCTCGCACACCGCCAAAGACATCGCCTTACTCTTCTTCAACCATGTTGCACACCACCACGGCCTCCCCGAGAATATCATCAGCGACCTCGATCCCCGTTTCCTCTCACAGTTCTGGAAACAAATCTTCAACGCCTACGAAACTACACTCAAGTATGGCACTGCATTCCACCCACAGACAGATGGACAAACCGAGAAGATGAACGATACTCTCCAAAGAATCCAACGGAAGTACTGTCATCCACATCAACACAACTGGGATCAGTTGCTCACTGCTGCCGAGATCGCCTACAACAACGCTGTTTGTCCTTCCACTGGCATGTCTCCATTCTACCTTGACCTTGGCTACCATCCGCGCTTGCCCTCTGATTTCCTGCTTCCCTCGCAACTCAACCCCTCCACACCCTGCCCTTCCCTCAATGAATGGGTAGCGACAATGAATCGACTCCCCAGAGAAGCAACCGAAGCCCTCGAAAGAACACAAGAACAGCAAGCAAACAAGATCAACAAACACAGACGAGACTTGCAATTCAAAGTAGGGGACAAAGTCTGGCTCTCCGCCAAACGCTTTGAACCCGAACATGGATTGTCAGAGAAACTCTCGAACAAATGGCTCGGACCCTTCCCCATCATTGAAAAAACCTCCGACGTCAACTACAAACTCCCCCCCGACATGTGCCGCATCTACGCGGTCTTCCACGTCGAATACTTGAAAGAATATCATGAATCCCCACCCCAATTCGCTGACCGCCCATATCCTAGACCTCCACCTATCATGTTACCCACAGGCCCTGAATTCGTTGTTAAAGCAATCATAGGTCGACGAACTACTCAGGTATCTGGCCACCCGGATCCAATCACTGAATACAAAGTCAAATGGACTGGGTACCCCGACGAAGAATCTACGTGGGAACCTCTCTCGAATCTCAAGAATGCCATGAAACTCGTCCGCGCCTATGATCGTGCTACTCCTATGTCCTAGACACCCACGTACCTACAACCCTAAATCCCTGTATAAACCTTGCTACAACCTCGCAACCCGGTTCTGCACACACCCTTGAACCCAGTCCACCCTCCCCTCGACCCCGATTCCTGATGTCTGATCTGCCCTTGCCCTCGCCTAGCCTTGTCCCATCTGTCCTCTCCACTGCCTTGTCTCTCTCGTCCAATGCTTATGAACCTGCGTGACGCCTACACGAACTGCAATGAGGTCTGATCTGGAAGCAAGGAAGTCGCAGACTGATGCAAAGATCCATGTCGCAAGTTGTTGCTCAAGCAAGTCAGCGAGTCGGGATGCCGGCCGATGAAACAGCATGGTGGCCAAACCAGCTGCATAATCTCCATGAACAGTGAGGCAGCAGGCCATCGTCTTGGACTTCTACCTGTTGCAGCCGCTGAAGACACTTCTCCCACCTACTTCAAGACCTGATCAAGACTGCTGCAGATCCCCTTTCAAGACACTTGGACACTTTGTTCCTACATGAGATTCTGCTTCCGACTCCTTCAGACACACCAGCCTTCGCATCCTGAACAAACATTTTCATTTTTATTTTTTTTCCCTGACTTTGACAACCATGTAGAACATAAATAACAGATCCCTGTTTCCCTGACCATTGTTCCCCTTACCCACTAGAACATCAATAGAAATTCCCTGTTTTCCTGAACATTGTTTCCCCTATCCACTAGAACATCAATAGAAATCTCCTGTTTTCCTGAGCATCGTTTCACCTACCCAGTAGAACATCAATAGAAATCCCCTCTTCCCTGAACATTGCTTAGCTTCCCCTATAGACCCACCCAGTTACATCATACCTTCACCTGTGCAGAACACCAGACAGAATACCCTGTGACTTGCATCACTCCCCTTCTCCTTCTCAGACCAGTGATCGGCCCCGTCCTGTCCTTCACAGCTCCTTTGTTTCCTTGGCTTTTTGGCAGCCGGGACGTTGCCTTTCAGAGGGAGGGGATAGTGTTACGGACTCTGCCAGGGCTCGACCCCTGGTCTATCTTTTTGCTGTTTCTGCTGCATCCCCGTTTTCGGTCTGGCACCCTTTTTTCCAAACCCCTCCTTTGGTACCGTCGGATTTTCGACAACTGGTGCCATGCTGCAATTCGGGCACCACTTTCAAATACCGCATTTTTCAGTTCTGCACTCGGGGCTTTTGCGGAAATGCCCCTGGTACCGTACATGTCACCGGTACTTATACCGGTTCCCCGTACAGTACGGGGACCAGTCTGGTACCAGTTTACAGCTGCTGTACTCGTACTCAGTGTGACTTGCTGTTTCGGCATTCGGAATCCAAGACTTCGACTTTGTGCCCTTGCCACTGTGTCTGCGTCCGACCCTCAGTCGTGTCGAGTGAGTAAGTGTGTGTGTGTGCTCTCCCTCTCTCCCTCTCTCTCTCCTCTTCCTCGGCTCTCCCTCAGCCTTGTGCGCGTCACACGTGCGCTCTTCACCTGTGACTGGTTCAGCAGCAATTTCACACAAGCATGAGTGAAATGAATAATAATGGTCGGCAACAGCTGCTGTGCTTTCATATGTGACGGTTCAGCTTCAATCCTTGGACATGCCGACCCGATTGACCCGGTACCTTCCCGGCGTGCCTCTCAACCTTGATGTTTCTGGAAAATATGTCGGTCTACCTTTGACCCTGAGCTTACTGAACTGGACTGGCTTGGACTGGACTGCTTCCAACTGGCCTACTGGACCCTATATTGCCTGGGATTAGACTGGTCCTGTCTAGCCTGCTGGACCCTATGCTACCGAAAGCCTACTTGAAACCGGTTGTCCAACTCCTGGACCCCTCCTTGGACTCTTTGACCATACAGTGCCGAAGTGCTGAGACTGCAGGTAACTGGCACTCTGGCCGATCCGGTTTCAAGGTGAACCACTGAAACGTATTGTTCTTCATCATCTACTATTTTAATCCAATTCAGCTTCATCTCATAGCCAGCAGCTATCTTTGGGGCCGTTTTGGTTAGCTGTTTCTTAGGGAACCATCTGTCTCTGGCTTGCGTTCTCCCGAAATCTTGAAAGAAATGAAAATGCTAGAACCTCTGGAAAGACACGCACGCGAACATCATTTTGTTTGACTAGTTGTATGTCTATTTTGTTTCTTCTGTTGGAGCAGGTCGACATGTGGCACCACCTCTCTCACTGCGCTGCATCAAGCCTGGGGGAGGCCTTGTCCACATGACCATGCTCACGATTTCACGGATCTACCCACTTGTCTGCTTGGAAAAGTAAGCTGTTGATCATTTTGTTTACTCAGAATCACATTTTCCCAAGTGCAATGCAATATGGTGCCTTTAGTTGCTCACACATTTTGATTGCCTATGATGTGTCGCTCTGCCTCTTTGAGACTTACCCCCCCCCCTCTCTCTCTCTCTCTCTCTCTCTCTCTCTCTCTCTCTCTCTCTCTCTCTCTCTCTCTCTCTCTCTCTCTGTGTCTCTCTGTCTCTCTCTGAGGATATGTGTACCTGGAATCTCTGTTCCTGACCGTAGATTAAACTACACAGATCAGCGGCCTGGGAAATGGAAGAGATTCCTTCAAGATTCCAGTGGAGTGGGATCTCCCCCCTGATAGAACACTACTAGGAGGATGTAGGGGGAACCAGCATCCTATATTCGGTCGGTGTGGCAATCCTACAGAGAAAAAAAGGTTTGTAAAACGGCTGACGTGTTCTCTTCTTGCCGCTTCTGACCCTGCGTGTGACTCTGCCTCTGGCCATCTGCCAGGCCAAAACCACCTTGTGGCTTTCCCATCTGTTGTTTTTCTAAGTTAAACCACTAGTTCTTTTCTCTCTCTCCTCTACCCACCTCCTCTTGAGTTTTTTTTTTTTTTTTTTTTTTTTTAATGGCCTTGAGCTATCATCATTGAACCTGTCCTACGTAATTCAGAAGAATTTATTCTGTTCATCTTGTTGCATGCATCTGGATTCGAACTTCGGTCTGTATTTTGACAGTTCATGGGTGTACCAACTGAGCTAGGCCCCTTGGTACATACCTGAGTTTACGGTGCAAAAGAAAGCCAGAACCACAAAAAGAGCAGGGATCCCAAGAGGGGATCCCAACAGTGGACAGCCCCGGGGGAGGGGGAGGGGGTCACATGCTCCGTTGGATCCTTACTTCAGACTAGTGGGGTAGAGAGCACAACAACCAGTCTTTCTTCGCTTTCTTTCTTTCAATCTTTCTTTTTTTTTTTTCCTACATTTTTCTCTCAACTTCTGTTTCTTTTACCTTCCACTACCTACTCCTAAGACTATCTAGAGGGGACCCCTGCAAGCATAGTTTCCTCTCTCTGTGAAGGGGAGATTTCATGTTGCCCCTTGCCCCTAATGGTTAGGGTATAGGGTTGGGGCCGCCAGTGGGGGTCTGGCTAACACAAAGACCGAGACCTGCCAGTAGCTGTGCCTCCCTTTCTCATCGTCCCCCACCCTTCATCGAGTAGCAGCAGAGGCTATGGCCANGCTGAGACAGAATCCTTCAACAGGCACTGACTGCTGGATTGGGTAGGGAGGGAAATAAGGGACTGGGGGTGGCCTGGACATCAGCAGCTTAGAAGTGTGAAAAAGTGTTGGTGTGAAGATTGCTGATGCAAAGGGACATTAGTGTACCAAGCTAGTTTCTGGAGATCAGTTGCATCTGCATGTGGGAGGTGGTATGCCAGAACACTTTCCTAAGAGGCTGGCAGGCCAGTCCACTCGTCCAGAGTGAGATGATTATCTAGAGTGAGATGATTATCTAGAGTGAGATGATTAATTGTGTACAAAGTTTCCACTTAATTGTCCCAGTGGTCTGGAAGGGGAGATAGAACTATGGAGTCAAGTTTCCAGTAAAATGTCATAATGATTCTAGTGCTGTTTATCTTTTCCAAGACGGCTCACATGGATGGCCCGTGTTTTCTCTGCAGAAAACTCATGTATGCTTTTGATTTTCACCGAAATGAGTGGTTCCAACCTTCACATGGACACCACCTCATTGACAGCAAATAAACCTCCTCTCCTCCTCTTCCTCCTCCTCCTCCCCCTCTTCCTCCGTCGCTATCGTCGTCCTTTTCGTTTCCTTTTTCTTTTTCCTCTTCTTCTCTCCTCTTCCTATGCCTCCCTTTGTCTCTGCATGGTTTAGTGGGGAAAGAATGACCATTTCCTCCCCCCCCCCCTTGCCTGCCTTCTTCCTTTTTTATCGCCACATGTTTTCATCCAAACCCTAACCTTATAACTTACCTTTTCTTCTCCTCCTCTTTTTTTTTTTTTTTTTTTTAATGAAACAGGACCTTATGGTCCCATCACCATGTCCATGCTGGGGAGCGTCAGTCCGGTTCCTATTCCACCGGCAAGGCGAAATAACATGATACAACATAGACCAACTCACGCATCCTTCCGTCCGGCCGAAGGATGCCTGACCAGCATTGATTGCTCCCAAGTAAGGAGGATTAACTGTCAGCTTGCCCTGTCATTCATTCCTCTCAGGCTTCCTCTGAGGCCCTGTCAAATCTTCTAGCCGTAACAAGAATCATATGATGGGAACTCTTCTGAGCTTTCTGCTTTGCCTCCTGTATGGTCTGGTCTTCCTTCCCAGGGTCTGACACTGTTGAGATGACCACTTGGATGATGTTGGGGATGGTCTCTGATGCATGTACACCTTGGATTTCTGCTGCTGAGGCGAGGTCTCATTTTAGATCCTGTTCCATTTCTTCCATCTGAGTGAGTTCCCTTTGGTCGTGGCAATCTTGCCGTGTAGCAGCCATCTTCTGAGAAAGGACTCCCTGTTGACCACCCTCTTGTATGGTCTCTTTTTCACCGACTGTTTGACTGAGATCCATCTGCAGCGGATTTCCGCTTCCACCATAGCTATCAGCTGGGCCCAAGATTCTTCTTTCGCAGTGACTTCCCCATCAATGGTGTGCACGCACCTGCGCTTCCAGATAGTCCACACTGACTCCACAATGTAATTTTCTGTAGTAGTAGGAACCAGTTGTTCTTGCCACCACGCAGGGAGGAGGGGATGTTGATGGATAAGTTGATGGTGGACAGGGAGGTCGAGGAAGGTGGGGCGGCGAAGAGATAACCATAGTTTCTTCTGGTGAGCTAGTGGTGCACATGACACATTTGTCCGAGCTATGGGGATCTGAGTGTTTGCGTTTCTCGTGGAGCCACTGATTCGCTGGTAGAGCGGCGTATGCCAGGAACCATTGCAGGCTGCAGATCTTCACCGGTCTCAAGCCTAAGTATTGTTTCCAGGGAATCTGTATATCCTCATCAGTGTTCAATATGCGCTTCTATCTCTTGTTTATTTCAGGTGACGGGTACCCTAACCTTCTAGCTACTGTTATCAGGGACTGGATTTTGTTTGCATACGGTGTGCATGAGCACCGGTTGCATTCCACACATTTGAATTTTGATCGGCTTTTGTTACAGGTGCTAGCAATCTACTCCCTGTGCGATATGTCACATACACTCCTACTTGTTCATATGCTTGTGTGGTCTTCACGGACACTTGGGGTGTGCATGTCACTCAAACCCTGAAGTGTCTGCATCTGTGCAATGGTGTCCCAGGTGTCTTCTGCTGGTATGACACTGTTTCCTGGCCCTCACATGTAAGAGTGTTTCAAGTTTGAACAATCAACAGCAATGTTATCCATGATTTTCAGTGATTTTTCAAACCTCAAAGCATGGAACTCAGCCATCTGTTTTCAGTGTGATGTAACCTTATCTACTTTTGTGTCAAGTTTCCCAAGCTGTAAGCAAGTTGTCGACTAGTTCTAATCCTTGTAGAATGAACCCTTTTGATACTGTCCCTGCAGAACCGCGGATGGGCGTATGATAACAAGATCCTCCCGGGCAGAGGCTGCTGAAGTACGGAAGTGTGAAGAAAAGTGAGAGTGCTTGCATCTGTACTGCCGTGCTCCCTATCCTCTTCAATTTTCAATTTTGAGTGGATAAGCATCCTTGAACTTTTCAAAACCAGAACAAAGTAGCACCTCACAATTCAGTTCGATATCAAATGGGATCATAATGAGCTTCATAAGCAATGACTCCTCTTCCTTTCCCTTCTGCCGACCACCTCGTTATCATCCTCTCCTGATTATCTTTGTCAAGTACGACCTCGTTATCATCCTCCTGATTATCTTTGCGAAGTACGACCTCGTTATCATCCTCCTGATTATCTTTGTGAAGTACGACCTCCTTATCATCCTCCTGATTAACTTTGTGAAGTGCTATCTTGATCTCTGTAAGAACCTGGCCAGTTCTTCGACCGGATGCTTATTGAACTGCTGACTGACAAGTCTCACCATGCTGTCTGGTTTGAGTAAATAAGGATAAGTGGAAAGAACCTTTGTCAAACCAGCATTGAAATAGTCTTTGGGTCGTAGCTTGTGGCCAAATCAAAACTTCAGGGCCAAAAGTTGGGTTGTGGGGTTCTAGGCTGTAGCATGCTGGAGCCTGCCACACGGGCCCAAAGGCCTGAGTTCTGTTGTGGAGAGTCCAGCTGGGCCCAGAGGTATATAACTGGGCCAGTCCTCCAGCCTGGAGCATCACTTAAATGACATGCTGCTGGAGAGCAGCGCCAGTTTGAGTCGAGCTGTGCTAGAGTAGCAGTAGAGGAGTAGGAGGTGGTGAGGAGTACGGAGGCTGTCTGAGCCATAGCCGCGAGTAGAGGTGGACACTTACCTGGGCGCTGTAGCTGGACTTCATTCCAGCGACCTTCATCAGAGGGGCCATCATCTTCACTTGTCAGTATTCACGTGCATCATCAGCATCAGGTGAGAGAGGGAGAGGAGAGTTCCTCTTCTTCTTCTGCTCCCTGATTCTTCTC